CTTCCAGCTCATTGGCTCCAACTCTGCTGCAGCCACTGCAGCGGCCCTGTCCGCCGGTGGTATGGCCATGCAGACGGCAGATTCGATATTGTTAGGACGGCTGCTGCATGAGAAGGAGACAATGGTGAGTGAGAATAATATGTAAAGTAGAAGGTCAGTCGAGCACCGAAACCGTTTTGTTTATTGTCCTAAACTTTCATTGTCAGAGATGCCAGCAACAAGAAAAATGGGCAATTATGGGAAGTATAGAACAATCAACTGTCAGTGACACCCCTTTGAAGTTGACTGCACAGGGCTCTGTACCCCGGCGCCAAATTGATACATCGATTGGTTGAATTCGTCTTGTCTCTGGCATGGACAAGATGAGATGGGACCTCAACTAATCGATGCATCGATTTGGCGCAAGGGTACAGAGCCCTCTGCAGTCAACTTCAAAGGGGTGTCACTGATAGTTGATTGTTCTACACTTCTTACAATTGCCCCATTTTTCTGGTTGCTGGTATCTCTGAACATGAAATCGTGTACGAGTTTGAAAGCTCAGAACAAAAACAATCTGTTCCAGTGCTCGACCGGCCTCCTTTACTCAGAGAAACATCATGGACACATTTACTCATAGTCCAATATGTCAACTTGTCTTCAATGGACAGGATTTGTATCCGATTTCAGCGGTACCACATGGACATGATCCATCTACAATGGTTGTCTGTAACTGGGATTACGTAGGATGGAAATTGAAGTTGACGCATTGTTTCCGGGGTAACAATTAAAAACGTCTGTGCTGCAGAATGGATTGGTAACCACAAACTTCCCAACGGTTTCTGAACTGCTACTTGTCTTCGCTTGGTAAAGATAATGAGCAAAAGTGCACAACAGTTTGATTATACACAGAAGACAATATATAACCGCAGGGTCATTGTTCAACGCGCAGAATAACCAATAATGTTTCTTTTAAACTTGGATACAGAAAGGAAGTCAGCATGAAACAAGGGGTAATTATATCTAGGAACGTGATTACCAGGGCAAATGGCGATAAGCAAAATTATCTAACGGCTATAATAGGTCGGGTTTCTCCCGCCGTATATAGGCTGCTTCCCTGTAGCGCAGGTTCTGATTTGTTCGTGCCCGAATAAGTATTCGGAAAGATGTTTTGGGGTCAACAGAGTGACCACTGTCTAGCAGTTATTTTCTAATCGAGGAATGTGGTACTTTATTGCCTTACATAAAAAGTCCATTAGGCAAAGGTTCAGCGGTTCTGGCTGCTAATTGTCTTTGCGTACGCCCAGTGTAATTGCATCTTCAAGTGCACGTGGATTCATACACGCAATTTGGGGTGGCGTGCAAAGGCAAGACGTCCTTTGCCTGACTTATTCGGAATCTTTTATTTGGATTGAAGAAGACGAGTTCAGCTGCACTGTAGGTCCCTTTTATGGTGGAGAACAACTTGCGCTTGAGTGTGTTAGAAAGATTATCAAAGCTAAGGTTAAAATAACAAGCTATTTCGGAACTGACTTTTCCGTCAGTTTTGGCCGTAGCGAGCTGCTTTATTTTTGAATGAAGCATGCAGGATAGCTACAGTTATGTAGGACCTCTTTGAAGCGGGCAATCTCTGCAGGTAAAGTTCTACTGGATCAAATATTCCTCGCCCCCTTGAAAAAAGAAAACATTTACCGAATTTCGTTTCCATTGTATTGGCACAAAACTGGTAAAATGTAAGTATTGGCCTTGTTAGGTATTTTTCCAGTAAACAAAGCACCCCACTGAACCATCATCCTTTCTGAAGAAGCGAACCTCTATGAAGAACAACTTGTTGCATTGCTCCATTTCTATCGTGAAATTAATCTTTGGATTTAAATTATTCATAAAATTAAGAAAAACTTCGGCGTTGCCTTTACTATCAAAAAGCGAAAAACATATCCTCCGTATAGTGCTTCAAATATAATGTAACTTTATAATGTGCTATGTGCATATGTTAATTTTGGTTTTATTGCCTGACCACGGCTTCAAAGTCATGGATGGCGATAACTTCGAAATCAAAATTAAACTGACAGTATTACCGTCGACAAGATATATGTGGCTAGAAGGTAAGATTGTTGATCTAAGGACTTGAAGACTAACTTGCCGATATGCAGAACTCTATTCTCGCAGAATCTAGGGTTATATTTGACTAGCAGATGACAAATAGTCATCCAGATACGACCAGTAAATTAGTCTTTTGCAACAGTAAAATTAATTTTACCTCACTGAAGACTGCTTTGTGGGCGTATGCCTGAGCCATAGAAAGAACCGTCCACATTCCGTTGCAAGCTGAAAACTTTGGGTTGATATTTTCGACCATAAACGGAAGATATTCCCCCACTTTACCATGTTGCATTTTATTTGTCGTTTAGTTGCAACAACAACTACAAGATTTGACACGTCTGCGTTTCCAAAACTCTGAAATGGAAGTCAAAATGAAGGCCCTTCAAAGAGAACTGGAGAACAAAAACACCCGCCTTAACGCTCTTGAGTCCTCCCAGGTACTTGTATGGAGCCTCAAAATTTCCTTCTCAGTAGTGAAATCGGTTCACTAAAGCTAGAATTAGACTTACGACTATGCTTTGCTTAGATTTTGGTTCTAAATTCACCTTGCAAGGACGAGCTTAACATCGCAGGCTTAACGCATCTGGCGAAAACATGGCTTCAAAGACATTGCTTAAACCAGTAACATTAGCTGTGTTAGGTTTACTGTGGCTTTCATGATTATGATACGTGCCAAACTGAACGCCTATTTTCGGACCTCACAATAGTAGATAGCGTGAATTAGGTGGGCTGATTTAGTTAACACCATCTCAAATTTGAATGATTAGGGGGCAGTTAAACAGTCGCTTGAATAATTTATATGCGTGACCACTGCCCTAGAGCTGAACGTAAATAAATTAACAGAAAGACGGAGCAACTACTTACCGATACAATGGCCGCCGTAAACATTTCTTTTTAACAACGTATGATAAAGGTTCAAATCCCACACGCCCTACCTGCGCATATTTTTGCTAAAATTTCTATTTAACGGTTGAAAAGTAGTTTAGCAAACAACTCTTTTCGATCACTCATAACGGACGGACAGATCTCAAGCGCAGCCTACCGTTAGCTCGCTCTT